TTAACAAATATTATTTACATGTCTTCGCGATTGACTGCAAGCCAGTTAGTTGCTTTCAAATATACCGAGTTTTCCAGATCGAAAGTGGATTTAGCCGGTGAAGTGACTATGGCTCCAGATTATATGAAAAACTCAGAACCCAGACAGCTCATTTATAGATTCATGCACTCAAGCTAATTAGGCCGTCTTGACGAACAAACATGTTCACTGCCACTTGTAGGCTAGCAAAAAAAAACAAAGGTCTTCGAAGATTTCTATCTCTTAACATAACATAGTTTGACACGGGTGACATGAAATTTTTAATATTCTTGAGTAAGTTAAATGTATCATTTCCATGATTGATTCCTCTAAAGTAGCTTAACAGCTACATTAGAAGGGCCAACTGACTTATACCATGCACTGGAGCGCAGAGGTAGTGCCATATTTTGGACACAAAACACAATTTCGAAAGTTAATCAAGTTAATCAGATGTATGTTCATTTTACACTGTCCTAAGGTAGAGTTTTCTGTTTTCGAAATTGGTTTTCAGTTTATCTTGACCTTTCGTTTACGCACGCTGCGGTGCTTGAGACCCAAGACACTTCATTTAAATCCTAATTAACCACCCCCCTTCCTCAATATATATTTGAATGTGTACGAATGGTCACTGGTTACTCTTGCTAGTGTAGTGTCTGAAATCATTAATAAATATCTCCAATACCCTCATTTATCCTGAATATATCAGTGAACGGGGAATTTCTAGGAGGGAGAGAGCGCTAAAAATATATTTCACTGACATCTGGCTTGATCACGATAAAGCATTCGGTACCTCGACATTTGGCCATGTCGGTGGGTTATTTAATCTATGTTCTGTCCTATTGAGCTGTCTAGGTTCTGAGTTCTCCATATATCCTGATAGTAATGTCCTTGCGCAGCGCAAGGTCCAAACATCTCTGCTGGGTCTATTGCACTAGACAAATTAGGCGGTGCGCCAATCATGACCTGATTGGCGAAAGTTACAACCGTTTGTAGTCTCTCTCAATCCCCGCACAGAAAACAGTCGAGCGCTGCATTGATACAGGGCAGGGACCAAATTTTCCTGAGCAATGCTATCAGGTCCGGGTAATCTGGAGCCCGAACTGGAAGTGCGCTTAGGCACGTCATCAAAACGACAGTCACCTCATCAACTGAATCTGCTATTGTTTTGTGAATTTCATTACATAATTTTGGAGCGCTTAAAAAATCGTTCTATACATGGGGCGAAGACCTGCAAATACTCTTACTTAGTTGTAGAAGATTTTAATGCATTTTTCATCAGTATCTGCTCACCCATGAATGTGCAAAGGCATTATACAGCGTTAAGGATGCATTTTAGCTATTAATCATCAACCTCTTCTCCATACGGATAAGCTTATACCTATCGTTGAATAGATTATAATCTATTATTTTGCGGTATATACCATATTAACGTTCAATTGGATTAATTAATCCAATTGAACGTTTATTAATATGGTATATACTATACTTGGTATAGTATTGGTATGGTATATACTATACTTGCTAACAGGTCGAAGACTGTCGACTTGAACCGCAAAAATGAACAAGTGAACATGAGACACAAGAGACAACGGGCAGGCTCGAATAAAGGCGGTGTTGCCGAAAGTTAATAATGAAGTTGATGAACGGCTTAACACGTGACTTTTGTCTACACAGGCGGAAATCACACCGCGGCAGGAAACTAACTATGCGTTAATTGGTGTTTCGGCGGATTTGAAATAGCGCCTTTAATTCGATTGTGAAAAACTCGGCGCTTTGGCGGGCTTTGAATCCATATTAGCAAGGGTAAGCCTTCGGTGTAAACGAGGTCATTAACACTTTTTTTTGAACCCTCACCAAAACCTGTGTGTTTTACCACATTTAGTTTACGTTTTAAGCCCACAGCCCAGGAACGTATCAAATAAAAAGATTGGTTCGGAGCGATAAATGTAGAATTAAGCAGATGACCAGCAGGTCAACTTAATCAATTATGGTGGTGGCAAAATTTAAAAAAATATAAACTCTGAAACGAAAAACAAACCCCTGTACCTTCCTTGAACCTTCATTTTCAGGGGGTACGTTCGTTTAAATTTGCCAGGGTTTTTCTTACTTACTTAATATCCAGTTTTGGTGTTCCAGCTACTCTCACAACTGATCACGGAAGTCAATTAACTTCTTCGATTTTCCGTGAGTTCACTAGAACGCGCGGGTGTGCGCATATCGCAATCACTGCTTACCACGCCGCGTCTAACTGCCTCATGGAGCGTCTCCATCGTCAGCCCGGAGAGCTCGCACAGTCTTCCCCCGT